CGCCAGGATATTTTACTTACTGGAAAAAAAGATAATCATTTAGCTTTCAATTAAAACTAAAATGAAATCTTCAAAAATGCTTTTTTATTTTTAAGAATTAATTTTAAAACTTAGGTATAGAAAATTCAGTAGGGTACCTAAACTATATGATCTCTCCTTGAAAGTACCCCCACAAGACTAATGCATTTTTCCACCATTATTTACCACGCTTTTATGCACTGGTGGACGGATTTTTTTGGATGTCTTTCAACTCAGTCCTTACGTCCCCCTTGATGGCCTCTACGTCTTCAAAACAGGACCCTTGATAATCCCCTTAGCCTTGGTGAAAAAAAAAGAATGTCACACAGAGCATGATCAGGTGAATGGGGTGGTCGTTCCAGTACAGCGATGTTCTTCTTGGCCATGAACTGTCGGATATTCAGGGCGTTGTGATTAGTTGCATTCTCGCGATGAAGCAACCACAATTTGTCTTGCCACAAAAGCATGTGAGAAAAATGCAATGGTTGCAGAAAGCTAAAAGCTACATTTATAAATTCCCAAGATATCATGTGAAATAACAACACAAATCGCTTATCCTACTTTTGCCCATAGCTGACACAACACAACCAGTCCAGTTACTTTTCAGAAAGACCACATACACTGATTACATTTCTTGCAGAGAGAATAGAATCCTCCCCCACCCACTAAATAATTCACCTTCTGGGTTCATGTATAAACACTATCAATGTTTGCCTCTAGACTCAAGTATACACCACATTAATGCTTACTTATATACTAAAGTATATAAGTATAAAGTAATATATAAAGTACACGATTGATGTTAATATTTAGAGTCAAGTATTAACTCAAAGGATTTTTACCTATGGACTCAAGTAAAAACCCGATCAATATTTCTGTACAGATTGTTGGTCATTATTTTAGCTGAACTGCCAATTTGACTTTATCGAAATGATCAGGCTAATCATTAAGACGTGAGTGAATAGTTTTGTCATCACCATAGATGTCTAGTTGAGAAGTGATGACGTTAGCAAGGTCACTGATGAAAATATAGATGTTTATATATTCAAATATAAATGACCAGAATTTGCCTATATCGTCGAATCAAGTAAATGATTCTCGGATAGAATATAAACAATTAATATTTAATTAATTCCTAATCAAATAAATGATTCTCAATTCAAATATAAACGACATATATTTGCCTATCCTCGAACCAAGTAAATGTCTCTCAATTCAAATATAAACCACTAATATTTACCTCTGGCGTATCAAATAAATGCTTATTAACACACATAATCAAATAAAAATATAGCCAATATTTTAAACCTATCCTCAACCCATGTACATAATTATAAACAAAATTATAACGTCTAATATTTACCAACAGACTCAATTATAACCGACCAATGTTAACCTATCCCCGAACAAATTTTATGATTAAAATCTCGAATATAATAAATAAAAAGAAACTGTTTGCGATATTAACTAACGTAACAAGGATCGATATATCGTCAAATCTAACGACAGAAACATCACGTTAATGGGATGGCATGGCTGTCTTTAATGAAACCAAATACTTGCATCAATAAAGTTTAAATGAATCTTATGGTAAGTCATACACGAGCGAACTTAGTGATCCTTACCTCAGAGGGTCGAGACTTCTTTTCTTCTAGATAGTAGCAGATAGTTTAGCCTGTCGTCTAGTACACATACTTCCCCGGTCTTTTGAACAGGAGTAGTGTTTTATCTCTTGTTCCTTGTTTAGGATTGGGTTTCGGATTTCTTCGAAAGCATTTTTATTTTCTTTCCTTCCCAGTAACATCCTTGCGTCTTAGTTGCTTTATCGCCTTGTTTGAGGTGAATTGTATGAATTAACTCCTCTTAGTTTCGCCAAAGCCTTTAGGGTGTGCTGTCAAATAAGTATCAAAATGAGGCTTTTCTACTCTCTCCTTCTTTCCGACCCAGCAACATGTAACGAGGCAATTCTGAGAGAAATCATACCAGGATTTATTATTTTCGGCCACAATCTTAGCAACATAAGATATGCAGATGACACATTGCAGATAGCAAACATGGAAGGTAGCGAAGGAGAGCGAGAAGAAAGGACTAAGCGCAAACTACAAGAATACATAATTTATGATCATCAGATAAAAATTGAGCCCAAAATGCAACTTATAGGTCAAGGATAGTAAAATGAATCAGGTAGAGAAATGTAAATATCTGGGAAATGTTCTAACAGAGAAAGGAAAGTGCGAAACTAAAATCCTAAGATGTATTGGGATGAGCAAAGATACCTTCCAAAAGCTAAGCAGAATATTAGGAGACAAGAAAATTTCGTTGGAAACGACAACAAAAAAGAAAGAAAAAAGATTACTGAACTGTTACGTGATATGGCGTATTCCTGTATGGCAGCGAATGCTGGATAATCTTCGCAAAGATAAGAGATTCGAAACAAAAGAAATGTTGTTCTACAGAAGGATATTGAGGATTGCTGAGGATACAATGGGCGTCGAAAACGTGGGTCACATTTAGAGAGTGGAAACAAAAAGAAAACCTACCTTCAGGAAGAGGCAAATTTCTGGGGCGGATAATGAGGAAGGAGGACTTGGAAAATCTGATACTCACAAGACAGATTGAAGGAAAGCAGTGTGTGATATACTGGATGGGCTAGGTTTGGGGAGAGATAAAAAAAGACAAAACATATTAAGAACTACAAAAGACAGAAAGATGTGGAGGGCCATGATCTCCTACATTATGAACGGACACAGCACATTAAAGAAGAAAGAAGCTGTAGCGACAATACCCTCCTAAACGTTTCTCGTTATGGGAATATCTTTCCTCTTAGTGACTGAACTTACACACACACACACACACACACGCGCGCGCTTAAATCACCCACAGGATTCCTGACTTTTACGCTCTTCATTCTTTTACATAAACACCAGTGTATTTTCTCTCACCTTGCTGCAATTTACCCTAATTACTTACACACTTCATTTCCACGAGTAAAATCTTTTTCTACTGATTTTATTTATTTAATAGGAGCAGTGCGTAACGCCCTCAATGACCTACTCTGTTTGTACATTGATGTTTCAAAGGATAAAAGCCTTGTGGGTAGAATTTTCACATTCTGACCATGAGACCCGGGTTCGAATTTAGTCGATTTGTCATGAAGGAGACTTCTTGATGTTATCGAACGGGAGGGAAAAACCTGAAAAACCATACGACGGGTTGACCCAAGCCTCGTGAAGGAAATTGGGGAGACGGAACCCTTGGGGGCCGTCAATAGCTTCGCTAGCACGAAGTCACAAGTCATCGTGGCTGAAGACTTGCCTTGTTAAAATTGTTGATCACGCTAACCTGCTTCTAACCCAGAAACTGTAACTACGGTCTGCTCAGCATAGTTGCAGTATAAACCACAGGTTGGCATTGTGGGTGTTAAATAAACGCAAATGCGCCTGAGTAAACATCAGAAAAGGAAGTTGCTAGCCACCCTAGTAGATGGGTATCCTCGAATTCGAGTGGCTAGACATACTTACACTCCTCATTTGCACGTGGCAAATATTTTCCTACTGCTTTTATTCATTTGTCTCCAAGGATAAAAAGAAAGGAATGTGCGGTTGGGTCGTTGATTTTATTTAGCGGTATATCAACCTCTATGCCGAAATCTAAATATTTTGAAGGCAATTTTATGCCTTTAACGACAATTAAAATGTATTTTTTGACATTCTACTATAATATGTATTGCTGGTCATTTCCCTTTGAAATGCATTGTTGGTAAGTTTAGTATAAATAGCTATTTATGGTAACTTCATATAAAATGTATTGCTACTATTTTTACTTTAAAATATATTTTTCATTCTGTTTTGTTTTTGTTTGTGAGTTCGCTATATGCTCATAGGTGGGACCCTAACAGGTGCTACCACCCCGGTTTAGGGTGACCCTGGTAATAACAGCAACTAAGAGGAGTTTCCATGCTCGTCAAAATCTCCCGATGAGAGGCCTTTCTACTAGCTGTAGTTTTCGTTATACCCAGGACGGTAGGATGATGAACTCTTAGTCAATTCCTTCATCAAAATGTTGTAAAGTTTTCTTCTTCAAGATTGGTTGTCTTTATTTTCGATGCTCATTTTGAGGTTGTTTTGATTTATTTATTTTTGTTTTGTTTTCATTTGCTAAGCACTACATGCATGTGTGGTTGGTAAACCAACACGCTCAAATCACCGTGCTGATAACAAATATGGCGCCAGTTTGTTTACATTGCGAAGATCAGTACGAACATTTCAGTGATTGCGCAGGTTAGTGTTACCAACATTCTGTGAAAATTTTCTGTAAATTGATTGGACGGTTTTTGAAATATTAGAAAAAAGTTATCTTGATAATAATTTGGCACGCAGTATAGTTATCCAACCTTAATTATTGTATAGTATTGACTCTAATTGCGTTTGCGGTCATATTGAAATCTGAATTGTTTAATGCCAAAAAAACTAAATTATCAAGAATCAAACCTTAGAAAAAATGACGCTTCTACAATAGGTCAAGATTGAAAATTATTAGATGCTTGGCATCAATGCACTTGGTTCAGAGATGCTTAAACATTGCAGTCTCATCACAGGAGATGTAAGCCTTGATGCTAGGAGTAGTTTATCGTCATACCCAGAACTCTAAATGCGAGGTGGGAGCTTTTATTGTGTCACCGTTTGGTATAGTGATAGCTAATATACCTATCTTATTTTAAAAAATTCACATACTGCATTTTGTGGATTCGAACACATAATTCTGTTCTTCTTTGTGGTATGTACACTATAAAATCCATTAGAATAAAAAGGTCTACACGGCAACCTATATTTATCATTCTGTTGCCCTACATTAGAAAAATAAACAAAATTAAAAATTATCCGAATAACACAATTCTAGATTCAAAGAATTTTATTGATATTCTTATAGGTTTTCCATTCATTCATTGAATTATCTCCGAAATCTTTATTTGTTTCCTTTTTATGCCTTTTCATCTTTTTTCTTCCCGCTTTCCATCCCTCGCCAGTATTCTTGTCAAACAAAAAACTCTATCTGAAATATCTCATTTTCGATTCAAGTCAGACGCGTATCACGTGACTCAAAATGTGTAAGTTCAAAATAACAGACTTTCTTTTTCAGCGTTTTATCATTTTCGTATTTGCTTGTGTGACTAAATTTGCGTTCGTTTCGTCATTGCTTTTTCCCTCTTGGACACGTTTCCGTCTTTCTACCATCTAAAAGACATTTTCTTCTATTATTTCACTTCTTTTTTTAATTCCTTCATTCTAAAAACAGTCTTTTCTTTTTTTACTTTCTTCCATTTCTTTTTTTTTTTTTTTTTTTTTTTGACAGATTTTCTGTGCAACATTTATATAAGTACTCTTTTCATATTCACGTATGGATAAACCTTTTTTTATTACGTGGTCAATATTTACATCTCTTCACACTTTCTTGATTATTATAACTTAAAATTTTCATTTGTGTATAGAGAATGTTTCCTTACCGTTTTATGTTCAATCGTTTGCTTATGAAGTCTTCATTATTTAACCATTGTCTTTTAAGAATTAATATTATTTGTTCGTCTTTCCTTCTACCTTTCTTTCTTTCATTTTTTTATCTTTCTTTTTTCACAGGCAAGTTTTGCTCATTTTACAGAATTAAGTCTGTTACTTGCTTTTTATTCTTTTTCTAACGTTTTTTACTCACTTTTTTATTTTGTCCTTTTTTCGTTACGCATTCGTCATTTTTTCTGGAATCGGCCTAAATTTTATTTTCTATGCTTCATACTTTTTTACGTTTGCATCCCTTTCGTTCGTAATTTGAATTTTTCATTCCCTCTTTCTTTTATCTTTCTTTCTTAAACTGCATTTTCTCATTCAATTCTCTGCTTTCTCTTTCTTTTTTCTTTCTTTCATTTTTCTTTGTTCTTAAACCGAGTTTCTCATTCATTTCAGTGACTCCAACCTTATTAACTTTCCTCTTAATTTTTCCTTCTCTTTCTTTCTTTTATTCGTTCTATTATTCTCTCTTTCTTTCCTTTTTCTAATTAATTAGTTATTTAAAATTCCCTTTCTTTCTTTCGTTTTTCATCAGCGTTTCTAAATCATTTTATTAGTTCTCTCTTTCCTTTTCTCTTCATTTGAGATTTTCTTTTCTCTTTTCTCTTTCTTTCTCAATTTGCGTTTATCATTCATTTCTTCCTTTCCTTTTCTCTTAATTTGCCTTTCAATTTCTTTCGTTCTGTCTTTTTTCATTCTTACTTAATATGCGTTTCTCATTCATTTCATTTGCTTCTCTCTTTCTTTAGTTTTCTATTAATTTGTCATTTTCTTTCTCTCTTATTTCTTTCTTTCTTTCTTCACCAGCGTTTTTCATTCATTTTAGTAGATCTTTCTTACTTTCCGTTCCTCTTCATTTGAGATTCTCTTTCTTTTTCTTCCTTTCTTAATCTGCGTTTATCATTCATTTCAATGCTTCTCTCTTTCTTTCCTTGTCTCCTAATTGTCTTTGAATTCATTTTATTGCTTCTCTCATTCTTTCTTTTCTCGTAATTTACTTTTGTCTTTCTTTTTCTTTCTTAATATGTGTTTCTCTTTCATTCCTATGAATCTTTCTTTCGTTCTCCTCTTTATTCTTCCTTTATTCCCCTTTCTCTGTAGCTTCCTTTTCTTTTCTATTCTTCAGAGTTTCTGTTTTTCTCTTTCCTCGTATTTCTCTCTACATATTCACTTTATTTTCATACTAATGCACCGAAGACTTTCTCAGAATTTTTCTTATACACCAGCGTGAAATTAGATTATTATTTTCATCAGCGTTGTGCACTACGCCAACGAAATGTTCAGTTGTCGACTAATTCTTCCAAATCATTTGTTCAATTTTGAATGATATTAACTTTACCTTATTATTCCATAAACATCGCATTTTCGAGGTAAGCCATAAGTTTTTCTATCTTTTCGTTTTCTTTTAATTTCATATTTGAATCGACTACATCAGGCGCTATGCGTTCGTTTTTAATGTTTGCCTTTGTACACGAAAGCAGTTCTGTTCTCCTGCTATAGGTAAGTTAATCATTTAGCTTTCAAAATTCCAATGTATTTGATTCTGTTATTTTCGAAGTTAGTTTCTGATTTGTGTGAAAGTTTTCTCTATATTCATCAAGATTGTACTATTGAATGGATAACTGTGACTACCCACGGTTAAAACTTTATTTATTATTATTATTATTATTATTATTATTATTATTTAAGATTTTATTTATATTAAGATTTCATACCAGAAATAACTGATCCAGTGACAGCACACCTGTTCAGTATTCCAAACCTCCCCTTTATATCCGAGATGGTTTTATTAATGCCATTGTCATGATTCTAATTCCTTCGCGATGTTCTTAAGTGATCCCAGTACTGCGCAAACTTTTGGTACTACCATCTAATTTTCTAAATGAAAAATTATCATTATTATATGCATATAGTCGTTTAGATTTTATACTCACAACGAATAATGGGGCTTGGAATATTCCAACTGAATCCCCTGAAGAAAGGTAAGTCCACCCCTCAAAAAAGGGACTACAATGCGTACAAACTCGGGTATGCCTATATTTTTCGACTACCTATCAATTATTGATAGGACGTTAAACTAACCAATTCACATAAACCCAACATTTTTGAGTCGTTTTTCCCTCTGGGCTTCAACATAATTTGCTTGAAGGATTTTTTTGCGGCTTATCAACCTTTTACAGGTTATTTATTTTTTGATTGAATGAATATTTTGGAGATAATAATGATTTTTTAATTTTTATTGTAATCCATAGCAGACTGGGGGAAGAGGTGGATTCATTGCTTTCCCACGTGTATTTGTGCTTTAGTGAATATAATGAACCCAACGGGAATTGGAACACGGCCCTCCGATTTCCAATTCCGAGCCGTCATCAATTACACCATCCGCACGTCTAAGACATGGTATTTCCAAGCGGTCACCGATCTAGTTATCGACCAGGCCCGACGTTGCTTAACTTCGGTGATCGTACGAGAAGCAATGTATTAAACTTGATATGGTTGTAAACCTGACCTTCTTCCAGTTCCCAAACGAATTCGATAATCTTCTTGAAAAAAAAAAACCAGAGTAGATTTTTCTGGCTCAGTTTTCCATGATATGGGGATATTTCATATATACTCCCCATCCTTGTGTCACCTGTTGCTTGATTCATTCATTCGTTTTCTACGGTTTATCAACCCTTTTCAGGTTATTTAAAGCTAGAAAATATTTTTAGATTGTAAGATTCTTTTGAAGATAATAATGGTTGACTTATACACATCTTATTATAACCGTTGGCAAGTAGAGGATTAGAAAAAAACAAATATTGAAACATCGAGAAGAACCAATTGACCAGGAGCAAAAGACGAATCGGAAAAGAGAAGTTGCAGATTCCTCCGATATCCCATATGTTATGCACACAAAGTTTCCCTCTTTTGTGATAGTTTTTGTGATGAGCTGTCGTGAAGGACACGTCATTCCTGCTTACTAAGGTCAATTGAGTCTTAGGTTGAATGTTGCTGGCAAGAGTTGTGAAACTCTGGATAGACTTTGTATACGATGAAACGCCGCGCGTGTTTCAACAGGACCAAAACATAAATATCTGGCCACCTAATTCCCCAGACATAAACCCCTTTGACTATTAAATTCGGGGCATTTTTAAACAGAAAACTAATCAAAGTTTCCACAATAAAACTGATTCCCCGAAAGCCGCCATTACCGAACTAATGTCCAACGTCAATACAGACTCTGTGAGACGTACATGTCAACGATTCCGGTCCACCATTGAAGCCATCATTATGGCTAAAGGCTGTTACATCTAATAAACATGTAATCCAACCATTACTGCATGTGTGTACCAAGTTTTGTATCAATAAATTAAGTTGTTTGTAAGAATGGCTGTTTTTCTTACAGTCCTCAATATGTCCTCAAATAACTTACCCTAATGAATTCGAGCATCAATGTATACTCTATATTTGTGTCCTTGTGCCAAACAAAACAAAGTGAATAGTATTTATATATACTTGGTGTAGAAGTTAAAATACATTTGATGAAAATACATTTAATATATTTAGCTCATGGGTTTCATTCCCTCAGACAGCACCTCCCTCACTTAAGACTTTGAGCCCTGAACACCGCTTTACCGGTGATAGAGAGAAATGACTTAATGCTCAGCTACCGGTAGGTAAACACTTGTAACTATTTTTATATCTACCGTGAAACATTACATAGCAATTATTTGCGATTTTTGACTCAGGGACCAAGTTGGAGAGTTAAAATTATTCAGGAACGCTGGTCGCAACGGGTTAAAGAGGATATCAAGGTTAGTAAAGGTTTTTAATGGTCTCAAAAGAGTAATATTGGAGGAAAGCGGTTAATCTTTGATCCCTTCCCAAAAAGTGTTTGGTTGGGATGATGGTGAATTCAACCGAGCATGAGTTAAATATATTTTCATACGAATGTAATTAACATTATAATCATTGTGCAGAGTCATGGATAGCGGATCGGACTGAGGAATCGGAGAGCCGAGTTCGATTTCCATTCGAATCCATTACATTCATTTACGTGCTAATACCCTTGGAAAAGGTATGAATCCTGTTCTTCTCTCCCCAGGACATTATTATTGAGAAAACTTTTCCAGTGATTCCATAACTGAAAACCTTGAGCAACAATCCTTTGTAGCACTCCTTGCCGAAGGCCTTTGAAATGCCTAATGCTATGGTCAGTTAGGAGTTTGTTTCTAGTGGGTAATAGCAGTTAGGAGAACAGCAATGGATCGGCCGATCTTAACTGGGAGCTCAATAATGGTCTTGTTCATTATAGCCTCAAAAAGCTTCCTAATAATACTGAGGAGACTGATATGTCTATAATGAGAATCTAATAATTAATCAGAAACATTTATAACTAATTTTGCTTTCATTATTTTATTTCTTTCCATTTTTCCATATTATATTTAATTATATCTCATTGACTCTTTTATTTTCATCGAAACTAAAATGAAGATATTCTCTTATATCCTCATGCTAAAATCAATGCACGTTCGGAGAAAACCCTGAAAACACACACCTAATCTTCGCTGTTAATTGATGTAATTCCGAGTTGAATACGCACTAAGTCGAAGAATTTCAATATCACATTCCACCATAAAAATTACATGGAAAATTTTAAGTATAACTGTATTATTTTAATGGTTGGATATTTTGGACGTTGAATAAAGGAAGAGAATCAACAGCAGCAGCGGCAGGTGTAACTTAAACGAAGCTCTGGGAAGGAGGTTAAGCGTGACAGCAGCAGTGGCTGCAGCAGGCAGGCATAGAGGAAGAAAATTACTTTTCAGGCTACACGTTCTTGGTTAAGAATTTTCAAAAGAGATAATAATGGATTAAAGTGTTTTTTCGGGAATTTAGGGGCATAGTTGTGAGTTCGATCCCTGAGCCGAGTAATATGACAGGACAGGAGAAACAATGCGAACAACGACCGAGAAATAATAAAAACAGATCAAGACAAGATGCCATTAGGCGTAGACATCACAGCGATAAGAATATATTTCAGTAAATTAAATAATATTTGAACAAATGTCCTGAAGCTTACACCTGAAGTAACCGCCGAAACGTTGTGGAAACGACAAATAAGAAGATATTCGCCCGAAATGAAAAAAAGAAATTAGTCCATTTTCTGAATGTTGTGCGTTGGGACGTAATGGATATTGGCTCGGAATGAGAAATTGTTGAACCGAGTTCGAATTCTGGTCGGGTTCGTTGCATTCATTTAGGCACAAATACCATTGAGAAAAGTATGATGCCATTACTTCTGCCAGCAATTAGATTGGATATCAAGACAGACGACCGCAGAAAGAAACGGTAACATACGGTGGGAAAATCTTCTACCAAGTCAGCCATGAACCGAAAGAGACATGATCACCCAAGCGTGTATCAAGTATGGCACTTAACTGATTGAGTGAAATAATTTGAAAGTACCGTCAAGAAAACTAGTTAATAGTCGGATAGTGATGGCCATCTTTTTTCGTTTCTATTCGTCTCAATTCCAAACAAGTATAAAATCTTTCAAATAAACTTTAAACATGAAAGGAAATACGGACTCCAACAAGAGAGCAATCATGTGCAAAGGATTATAAAGAGAGATTATGGCAATTGTAGACGGGTTTTCAAACAGCTCTCCCTACAGTTTAGCACAAGTATTAGCAAAACGAGAAGTTATGAAAATAAATTAGATTTACAAACTTCTTGATATGACTACAGAACTTGTTTTCTGATGTAGGGCGTTCAAAAACTCGTCCACAAGCGGTTGGGCTATCCTTAACTTTCAAATCACTCAGTCCCAAAGAGACTTATGGAAGAAATCAAAATCTAATGCATGTTTTTTTTTTTCAGATTTTGTAATGGTACAGACCAGGGGTGGCCACACTTGCTTAATATAAGAACAACTTACGACAAATTTCAGCTTTTAGTTTCAGAATTTCTATATAAATATCAATAAATGCATAATCCAGTAATATCTATTCATGTATGCATTTTTTTAAATGTTCATTTGTATTTCTTTCAGTAATCTCAACGTATACATACATATACATATACCCCCCCACACACACATATATATATATATATATATATATATATATATATATATATATATATATATATATATATATATATTTTAAGGCATAATTGTCGGACTTTGTCCATTTCATAATAGTGACGTCATATATATATATATATACATATATATATATACATATATATATATATATATATATATATATATATATATATATATATTCCAAACTTTCTTGCGTCAACATTCCATTCAAGAACTATGAAGAGGTCAGAGTATCGTTCTAGCTGCCATTCAGAAATAATGCACCATCAAGAAGTAAGCATCAGTCGCCTACACGAAACACGAAAGCAAAAATAAAACAGCTTATAGGGTTCCTGCTGCACTCTGGATATAATCCGTTCTCCTGTACTGCTTGTGGTCTTTTGTGCAATTCTCGAACCGGTCTCAAAAGTCATGCCCGTCATAGGCACGCAGATAATTAGTTCGTGGTAGCCGCAACCTCATACGTCGAACTCCACGGGAGAGTCCATCACATATCCCAAAGCACACATATATATTCCGAAAGTTTTCAAAAACTTGACTCATGATTAACTGTATTTAATACGGTGTGTTCTGGGTATGAACATAAGTTTTTATATATAAAAAAGACCGACAATACGTCACTAGCAATGCATTTTATCTGTAGTTGAAGGCATATAATTGCGTTTAAAATATATTTGGTTGAGGCCTTAAAATTGTGTTAAAATTATTTAGATTTGGCATAAAATACCCCATAGTTTCTATGCCTCTAAACAAATTCAAACAACCAACTTTCATGATATTGATACATATAATATCCTGTAATTCTTAAGTCAAACTCAATTTCAAAATAACTTAAAACTCATATATCCCTGCATCTAGTAATTTCCACATATACATGCATATACATGTGTGCAATTGGGTAAACAGAATAAGATATATTTTTATTACTTGAAAACTCACAAGAAAATTAAGTTTAGGTATTAAATGATCTTAGGTATTAAAGTTCTTATGCTGTTAAAAAAATGAAATATTTAATAACGTAATCATCTGGTAATTTGTAAGAAAAATGTGCAAATTTGCATTTCAGTAACATACAAATATAAAAGTGCAGTCCCTTTAATCCCTTTACCCAATGACCTTAGTGTACTGAGATTCCTTTGTAACCCTTGCTGACCGGAAATTCCTTTAACCCTTCTGCCTTCTACCATTCAGTATTAAAATGTCTAACACAGATCTAGCATTAAAATTAGGATTTAAATTCTTAGCTTTACTAACCATGAAAATTAAACTAACGTTTGCATCGAGTTGGGTCTCAATTTATTTTCCTTTTATAGCAAGTTTGATGAAAAGAGGAACACAGTCAACAAAATATCAAAGAGCGGTATGTAGCTCGCGAGACGCCGTTTGGCCACTCTTGGTATAGAGGAGGTC